CATGTAACAATGGAAAGATGCTGAATTTGTTGCCCTTGAGAAGGTCTTTTTAGCTTGGGCGCTTTGTTGCTCCATTTCAGACCATGTGATGATACTCTTGCGAATTCTCGCTTTCAAATTTTTAAATAGTCGTGTGTGTATGAATGAATAATTTTTAGATGAGCAATTCTCTAGAGAATATCACGTGGTCGGTAATGGAAAACAAACCGCCCAGGTTAAAGAGCCCTGTATCTTTAGCACGATTCTTCGATAAGAGGCGTGATCCACTAGAGTTTTTCCGCACAACAACCTCACAGATCAGCTTTACCCATTATGACACTAGACATGTAAATTCCCCGCCCGTTCGATTGTAAGGGCCTGTTACTTCATGTCAAAATCTTTAAAGAGCTGACCTAGAAATGTACGCATTTGTTACTGAACGTCATATTTCGTTATTCAAAGGTGGCCTGTAGCGAGGAGGAAACAACCTCGACAAAGCTCATGTAGATAAAGAGCGTTGGATCAAGTCGTTAGTCTATAATTACAACGATTTTGTAAAGATGCAGAATAATAATATGCAGAATCTCGTTTATTAAAAGACAGGTTTGGTGAGTGGAGCTAAGTTTAAAAATGATTTTGGAACTTGTTACACACGTGTCGCTATTTACCGGAATGAGAAGCCAGAGATAATCAAGAACGACAAAGGCAATGAGTCTACACCGAGCGTTGTCGCTTTTACCGACACAGGTGTTTTAGTAGGCGAGTCAGCAGTGGATCAAATGTTTGAAAACGCAAGCAACACAGTGTTTGGTAGGTGTGCATCAACATCAATACATTTTACTTAACAGTTCAACGCAACATATCGCAATATTGTTTACCCAGTATTTGCAAGCCCCGGCCAAACGATCGCAACATTTCGATGCAACATACTGCAACATTGTTTTGCCCAACATGTTGCGCGCGTTTGCCACCCTGTTGCGACGTGTTGCGACATGTTGGGAGTTGAAAATCGAACTAGTGCGCGTGCCCTGGCGCAACATTGGCCGTTTTCACACCAGAGACGGATAATCCTTCTAAGACGGGTTATCCGTCCAGCACGGATAATCCGTCTTAGTGTGAAAACGGAACGGTGCTCATTTAAGACGGATAATCCGTCTATTTTTATCTGTCCGATTATCCGTCTACATACCTGACCAAACGACTACAACATCATGCTTGCATCATAGACACTCAACCGTGAAACCATGAACCAACGGACCGTATTTTTACATGCAGCTAAAGAGAGCAATTGCACTCCATTAAAGAGCTAACCGTTCCCAAGTCAGTGCTAATTTAAGCTAACCGAAACGCTACTCAGGCTAACCGGAGTGCTTTTCAGGCTACCCTAAGTGGTATTTAGGCTAACCGGGGTGCTGTTTAGTGTAATATATTCGTAACCGGAAGTTGTGTTAAGCTGTTGTATTACCCAAGATGCTTAGAGAATAAA